ATGTCTATACGTTAACTTTCAATTTCAATAGTCTAGAAAGTATGACAAAGTATGACAAAGCAGTAATTCCCGGTTTAACGCGCAAATATGCAAATTAGCCTTTTTCTCGTCTTCTATTTTTGGTGAATTCTTGGGTTTTAAATTAAAATAGCTGATAGACGCTTTGGCCATTTGCCTCGAAAATTTCACACATTATTGACAAGGTGTTCCCCCTACAAAATGCGTCCGGACAGTTTATTACGGCGAGTGGAACAAAAATAACAAGTCCGCAATTAACATGGATATATAAATTATGCAAAAATAGAAAAGAGTGAACTTTGAGGTCATGCTGTGCGACTTTGAAAGCCGTTAGAGAGATGAGTGGACGCATTTGAATTAGTAGTATACCAAGGTATCCAGTGATGTAATTTTACCCACAAACGGACTTGAAGTTTTTAAGCTAATTTTTTTTAAACCACTTTTGTCCAAAAAAGCATATTTTTGACCCAAAATCAAAAACGCATTCTGGATATTTAAAATAAAGACAAGTTTTACAAAGTTTGTATAATAAGCTTTCAGAAAATATATAACATGTTGGATATATAATACCATCTTCATTGTCTAATTACTCAATTAAAAAGCAAGCCGAATAAACTGCATCTCTACCTTAAAGCAGGAAAGTTGTCACTTGCGCATGTGGATGGCCATAGAGTGCCATTGTTTACTAACAAGCGTCTACCCATGAGTCTTTATGTTTTTAGCGTGCTTGTTATCATCACTTAGGACTCGCGTGCCTAGGTGACGACCCCTCCGCTTTAACTTCATATAAGATCCGGTGTCATACTGTAGTTTCAAAAAAAATCTTTTGTGTCATATATCTTCTTAGAAGATACTATATATCATACTGTAGTTTCCAAGATCTTTTGTGTCATATTGTTGTTTCCAAGAAGATCTTGTGTGTCATATTGTAGTTTCCAAGAAGATCTTGTGTGTCATATTGTAGTTTCCAAGAAGATCTTGTGTGTCATATTGTAGTTTCCAAGAAGATCTTTTGTGTCATATTGTTGTTTCCAAGAAGATCTTGTGTGTCATATTGTAGTTTCCAAGAAGATCTTGTGTGTCATATTGTAGTTTCCAAGAAGATCGTTTGTGTCATATTGCAGTTCCAAGATCTTTTGTGTCATATTGTTGTTTCCAAGAAGATCTTTTGTGTCATATTTTAGTTCCAAGAAGATCTTTTGTGTCATATTCCAAGAAGATCTTTTGTGTCATATTGTAGTTCCAAGAGAATCTTTTGTGTCATATTGTAGTTCCAAGTAGATCTTTTGGGTCATATTGTAGTTCCAAGTAGATCTTTTGTGTCATATTGTAGTTCTAAGAGAATATTTTGTGTCATATTTTAGTTCCAAGAAGATCTTTTGTGTCATATTCCAAGAAGATCTTTTGTGTCATATTG